AGGAGCTGCCGGAACCCTTCGAACACCTTCTGCAGAGGATCGCCCGCAGACCCAAACCTCAGCAGTTCTTTGGATTGATGGGCAAGCGGGATGCTGGTGAGCTGGGCGGCCGCCCTGGGTCTCGGGCAGTGAGCCCGTGTGCCCACGCCTTCCCGGGTCCCCATGCGTCTCCGAGTGGAGATTCTCACCCCGAGACGGGGCAGGGCCCGTTCCCCCACCCCGAGGCCATGGGGGCCAGGAGAGGCCTGTCGCAGGTAGTGTTAGAGTGACCACCGCCACCAAAGGCGATCAAGAGAGGGCAGCCTCCTCGGGCCTCCAGGAGGCAGTGCTGGGAATGACCCAGGTGCCTGTGGAGGACGGTTCCCTAACGTCCCTGGGGGAGAGTGGGTCTGGCTGCCCCGTCTCCTGATAGAAACCTTCAGTGCCCTTGATTCTTCGCACCCGTGGAACGTGTAAATGGTGAATGCCAATTGTCTCTTTCCAGATTCCTCCACTGAAAAGCAACTGGCTCTGTTAAAGGCTCTTTATGGTAAACATTCCTATAAATCCTTATTCTACTGTTGTGAATGCACACGTAGGAAAGGAAAGTAACTCTTACTGGCTGAAATGCAAAGACTCAACAGCACCTGTTTAATAGATGGATTTTCCGTGTGTGTGTGTGTGTGTGTGTGTGTGTGTGTGTGTGTGTGTGTGTACGTGCGCGCTCGCGCGCCTGGGGAGACTGGGTCTGGCTGCCCGGTCTCCCGAAGGAAGCCTTCAGTGCCCTTGATTTTCGCACCATCGGTGGAACGTGTAAATGGTGAATGCCAATTGTCTCTTGTCAGATTCCTCCATGCAAAAGCAACTGGCCCTGTTAAAGGCTCTTTATGGTAAACATTCCTATAAATCTTTACTCTACTGTTGCAAATGAACACGTAGGAAAGGATTTTCCGTGTGTGTCTGTCTGTCTCTGTGTGTGTGTGTGTCTATATCTGTCTTTCTGCCTCTCTCTGTGTCTGTATGTCAATCTGTGTCTGTCTGTCTCTCTCTCTCTCTCTGTCTTTGTCTCTCTGTCTCTGTCTCTCAGCTTTTCCCCCCTCCCTCCTTCCCTCTCTCTCTCTCTCATAATAATTGAGTGAACAGCCTTGAAGACAGGAGGTGGTATAGCCTTACAGTTAATAACATGCCTCAAAAGCATCATAGCCATGGGTTTGGATCAGCGACTCATTGAAAGCACTTAATAAATATTCCTTTCGTTTGTTAAAATATTTGAGTACTAATTTGATTCACATTTATGGGCTGCTATATTCTTCGGGAAAGTACATAAATGGAAAATGTCATATATTTTTAAAATCAGTTTATTTTATAATTCTCACCAAAAGATATAGTTTATTTAAAACAAATCTGAATACATTTGCTAATTTTTTTCTTTCTTCTAGGGCACGGCCAGATCTCCCACAAAAGTAAGTTTAAAATTACTTTGACGTTTATCAAATTTAAATGTAAAAATTATATTGAATTTGAATTTATATAATATCTTACCTTATTTTCTGTTATGACTTAGGACTTAGTATTTTTAATCTTTTTTTCTTTCCTTAAAGGACTTAGTATTTTGAATTGAGGCAATGTACGAATGAAAGACTTATGTTACAACCAGTGTTGTATTTAATGCTGTGTTGTTTAGACATGTTGTACTTACCAAAAAGATGCCTGATGTTAAAAAAGAAAAAAATAGTTAAACTCCTATAAATCATTAGTTTTAGATAAAAATTTCAATCCTAGGATTCAAAATCCACCCCCCACAGGCCCATAATCCTCTCCACCATCCCTCAAGCTCACTTCCACTGAAAGAAAAACACACACAAGCATGTATAGGCATCTTCCTCTTCTAACTGATCTTGCCGTCCTGGGTCCCATAACAACATTATGTATTAGGGTCACCCAGCAACCAGCAGAGTAGAGTGGGCGAATGTCTGAGTAGGGAGTCCATACGAAGGTAAAGACAGAAAGAGACGCAATCAGTCAGCGAAACATCAGGGCAGTGAAGATGACAATACCGCGGCACTTGAAGATTATTCAATTCTGACTTCCCAGTCAAGGGAACCAGAGTGAACAGACCCTCAGGAGCCCATCTTCTTCTAACTGTCCACCCAGGTACCTGTCTCGGTGATTCACTGGGTCACAGAGTCGGCCACATGAATTCCTCTTCACAACTAACACAAGAGAAATTCTTCCACTAGCACTAAAATAATAACCCTTTCCAGAGGTTTTATCTTTGAAAATAAATGCCTTATTCATACTTACTTTCTAAGGATTTGACTTTCAAGGGAATTATACATAGCAAAATTCTATGTACTAAAAAAGTACTGTATTAATTATCAAAACAGATACACTTTACCAAAAGGAGTATATTTTTTAATTCAATAAGATAGAAATAGTGACCTTTAGAAGATCATAATCATTGAGTTTAATGTTCTGGCTTAACTAAGGGCACTTGTAGAGAAATACAATTTATCCAGTAACAGGAGAAATAGCTTGGACATTTCTCCCTCACAAGTGTAAACCTGACCTCCTAAAAACTTGAGCTAGTTAAGTAGCAGCAATATTTAAAAATTTATGTAACAGATATAATATGAATAAAGTGCTTGCTAATATTTAGACATAGAATTGAGAAAAGTGCTTTCACTGTATTATTTTAGTGTAATTTATAAAACTTATAAGAAATTTTTATTTCTTCAGTCTCACCAAAACTTGAAAGAGATACATATTTGTTACATAGACATCTATTCAGAAACTTGCTTTGTTCTAGTTATAACAATTTGTTTCCTCAAAGACATACATATTAAAATACCCCTAAATGTATTTTTCCAGGGCATAAAACAGATTCCTTTGTTGGACTAATGGGCAAAAGAGCTTTAAATTCTGGTATGTATAAAATCATGACTGAAAATAGACAGTATCTCAAATCTACTTCTACTATTTTTTTCCTAAGGCATAGTTTTCAGAATATTAAAAAAGAATAATAGACTTGAAATGAGTATTTATGGTGAAAAAAATTAATTGCAGTATTTATAATCAAGAATGGATTTATAGCTGATTAAGCTAATATCACCACAATATTAACCTGTTTCTCTCAAACCACCCACCTTACCAGGTCTGCCGCATTGACCCCTTACCCAACATGAATCTTTGGACTGGTCTAATACTCTTTCTCATAGATCTGTTAAATAAGCCTTTTTTACTGAACTAAGGTGGGGAGATAGGGTTACAGGAAAGAATGAAATCAATTTTCACTTGTTACCAAAATAATTTGAAAACGTTATAAGACATTACATCTGGCAATCTTCCAATACAAAAAATAAATAAACAAAAAAAATCCTTTATCCAAATTACTTGCTCTTTATGAAGTTACCAGAAGCTCAAAATCTCCATGTCCTGATGGATGTTGGAGAGAATGAGAGTAATATGGTCTATTTCAGTGCCTTTAAAAGGTAACACAATTAAGTCATCCTCAAGTGTCATAAATCAGCTCTGGGTGTAAAACCCTGAGTGAGAAAGGATGCTGTGATTCTCATAACCCAATTTAACTCCAAACAACGCTTTCATTCTCCCCAGTTTCCATTTTCTATGTAAATGGTACATACGAATCTCTGAAAACCTTATTTCTTAATCTGTTCATCACACTGCTTCCAAGGTCAGTAACCCCTATGTCATTTTCATACAAACTGACATTTTGTTAAGCAAGTTCAGGTCATGTGGCCCTTAAGTTAGTCTTCTTGGAAAAGCTATTCAAATTATCTCGATTTTACTTTCATAAAAATAAAATTAAAATACTAAACATCCAATTAATTAGAATGTAGTCAGCAACTGTCTTATCCATTTGGATATTTGTAGTTTCTAGAAAATCTATTAGATTTGCTGACTTAAGTCTTAGTGATCTGGATTAATGCAAAAACAGTAATCCTAGTATCTTATCTTCGTTCCCCTCCTTCCAAATTTAGACATTACCTTCATATTCTCTTAGAATAATTTTGGAGCTGTATAAGTTTTAAAGGAGTTGGCAGGGTGCCTAATGAAACACTTGCAATTGTTTTATTAATATGTATTACCTTCCAGCTTTTAGAAATGAAATATAAATTTAAACCACAGGGACTTGTATTTGTATCAGTATATACTAGTCTTCATATAGCTGTGGTTTTCTTAGTAATCATATTAGTAATCAACTCTCCATCTCCAGAAGTTTGATATGGATTTCAGCACATGCTTAACTTTATAAATAACATAGATACTGTGCAATTTAGAACAGGTTAAATGCTATTAAGTATACTTCAAGTAACATAATGATCTATAAAAATAAACAATATCACTGTAATGAATCAGAATCAATTTTTGACTAAATCTTTGTACCTCCATTCTACTTAAGAAAATATAAGTGGGCAAAAATGGAATCCATAGTCAGTCAGGGACCTTTTTACATAGACATAGCTAGTTGAGGCAAGGTTATTGTAGTCTTAACCCACAGCAGTCTGATCCTTACTCATTCACAGTCACAAACCCCTCTTACAACCTGATATATCTAGACCCCTCTTCCAATTTGATATATCTAGGTATATAGATATATCTGATATTTCATCTTCCAGAGAAACCCTCATTGGTTCATCTATAAAAAAGTTTACATAATGTTTCAGGGGGTTCAAAGACCAGGTAAGAAACTCTGCTTCCCTGTAAGAGGACATCATGTTCCAGCTGAATCACTGGCCTGTCTGTAACTGGTCAACATTAGCATTCATCTCACTTCTGAGGAACAGTCTTGTAACCTAAAGCTTGTCAGAGGCTGAACGTGTGTAAGTCATCATCGTCCTCCTAAAACAATCAAACCAGAATGATAAATGAGTGGTTTCCTTCCTTTGGAACTGTCCATTTGAGGGCCCAGACTTTTTACTCAGGAGTGCCTACATAATTGATATAAGGTGTTCAGCTTATTGTTACCCTTACTTAATGGATAGTTGGGTGTTAAAGGCCAGTGCTCAAAGAGGGCAGTGATAATGCTGGTGCCTTTGCCTGCCTTCTCTCTCAACAAGCCTTCTCACTGAGGAATCTGTTTAAGTAGCACCTATGATTCCTATACATCTTTCACGCGTCTTTCTATTGTTGCTATTTAATTCAGTATTTTATACAGGGCATACTGTATAAATCATGCTTTCAAGAAGCATGATAGTTTCACTGTAACATCAAGCTAACTCTGTAAAGTGGCAGTGAAGACGATGAAAAAGATTCCTAGCTATTTTGAATACAACAGTCTGACTTTTACCATTTTGTGGTTACAGATCCCCCTGACGTTATATATAATATAAAAATTTTGCCATCATTTTGGCCAGATAATCCAAGTACCTAAGTTACTTGCTAGCTCTATGTTAAGTACCTTTGGAGGCAGTAACTAATCTTTTGCTGGCCATTAGAGTGCTAGGAGGTAAGTTAACCTGAGTGGTCCTTAGACGGTTCAACTGACTTACCTGCAGAGAACAGGCCATTTGTAGTCTCAAGGCCAATCCATTGACGGGAGGTATCCTCAAAAGAGTAAGAGACCCTCATGCCATCATCATACCGTCAGGAGCCTCTTGAACAGAGACTGGTAAACTGTTTTTTGAAAAGAACCAGATTGTAAATATTTTAGGCCATGCAGTGTCTGTGACAACTACCCAAATCTGCCATGCTAGGCAAAGGCAGCTGTGGATGCTGCGTAATAAGTAGGTGTGTCTGTGTTCCCCTAAACCTGTATTTACAAGGACATGCGGTGGGCTGGACTTGGCTCACAGCCTGTAGTTTATTGCCCCTGTCCTAGAATACAAGCCCTATGCTTTGCTTTCCTCCTATGACTATTTCTGGGTTATTTTAGGCATTGTCCTTTCTATAACTTCCTGTGGGTGTCTGCCCCTACTTGAGAAAGCTGCTGAAAACTGGCATTGCAATATAGTGTGGAAATATGCTTCCGGGCCACCAATTATGTGATGAAGACCAAAGAAACCAAGAACTCTGTGGTTAGATCATTGCCAGTCAGGATAGAGACTAAGGAAGGGGTAGAAGATGAGCTGATAACATTCTTATAAATGTTTCCACAGAGGGCAAAAGTCATTCTGTATGCCCTGAATGTGAGCTAACTCCCTCAGTGAATTCTCTCCCACCTTTATCTCCTCTTGGCTTGCAGTGGCTTACGAAAGGGGTGCAATGCAGAATTATGAAAGAAGACGCAAGTAAACCCGCTCCTGTTTACTCGGCTTCATTCATGTCAGTGGGCAATGAAAGGTAAAAGAGGACATGCACAAGAAGGAAGAATTATTTAACACTTGTTTGGGGTTGAAAACTCAAAAAAGGTGTTTATTTTTCATATTGTGCCAATACGTGTTGTAAATGTGTGATAATTGTCATATAACGACTCCCTCAGAAGTAGAAATCAGTGGTCACTTCTCAACAAAGCACAGTGTTCAGTTGTAAATTTGAAATTGCAAAACCCTGTCAATGATATAGTTCCAAGAAGGAAGGCATCGCTTGGAAGCATCATGGCAGCCACTGCAGAAAGGAAGTCCTGGCGGTCGTGTGCATCTTCCGTCTGTTTTCATGGTGAAAATGTACTGAGATTTTGGTACCAAACTATATTTCTATCCCTTGAAGCATGTTTCATGTTTTGTGACTAGATAGAGATGTTTTTAAAAGTTTCAATGTGATTCTAAGATCTCCATTTCATTGTGAAATGTGTTGTGATAGCTAACATTTTAAATAAAAGAAAATATATCTTGAAGATTTTGTCATATCCTTTTTATTCATATTTATGTCAAATTAACAACCTTTCTTTTAGTAGATGAGATATGCTCAGAGCTGTTTTGTCTAAAATGCAATCACCCCCCCACACACACACACACACACACATACACACATTCTCTCTCTCTCTCTCTCTCTCTCTCTCTCTCTCTTCTTACTAAGTCATTTAACATGAGATCATTTATGGAGAAAACAATTGTATTCTGGAATCTAAAGCATAAAGGCTAAATTCTGGTTATAAAAACCTATAATTCCCATTTATAAATAGGATAATAATCTACTTTAAAGGTATATTTTGCTGATTATTTCTTGTGGAGTAAGATGTCAACACACTACCATTTCAGACCTGCTCGGACTCCAGGTATTCACGCATACCTATGTGAGTCTCACTAGAATTAAGATTCAAATCAAACTCTCACAAGAGCTGTCTGAAGACAGTACAGAAAGATGCAGACTGTTAACACAGCATGACTCTCACAGCAAAAATGAGAGCCTTCACCCGCATGTCTCAGGAATGCCTGGGAGCTGCTCCCAGCCAGGAGCAAGGGCATCAGGAGTCCACACAGAGTGACCAGAAGGAGGCTTGAGTGCATTTATTAATGAGTGTCTGTGGAACTGTTTTCTGATTGTGTATGTGAAATAAGTGACTAGTGGTGAAACAACACAAAACAAGAACAGCTCTGTGAAGTGAAACTCTGTGAATGCAGCTTGGGCTGGCGACTGTTGTTGAACATGGAAACCACATGTAGGAGAGGAGAGCAAAAGCGATTTTACCTTTTGTGTATTCAGTTGAATAACATGTTTTTTAAAACCTTCAGGCCAGGTATGGTGACTCACACCTGTCATCCCAGGACTTTGGGAGGATCACTTGAGGCCAGGAATTCAAGACCAGCCTGGGCAAGATAGCAAGACCCTGTCTCTACAGAAAATAATAAAACAAAGTAGCTGGTGTGGTAACTATGCCTGTTGTCCCAGCTGTAGGCCCAGCTACTCAGGAGGCTGAGGAGAGAGGATCACCTGAGCTCAGGAGTTGAAGGCTGCAGTGAGCTATGATCACGCCACTGCCCTTTAGACTGGGCCATAGAGCAAGACCCTGTCTAAAAAAAAAAGTCTCCAATTCATATTCCTCATTATATAGTATATTTAAATATTATAAGTTATATAACGGTAAGCAACATGGAGAAAGCGAGTCACCTAGAGTCCCACCCCCAACAGCAATGTTTAAAATTCTATGGAATAATAATAATTGTACTAAATAAAGTTATCATTACAGCAAATGATACATATTTAACCATTCTATAAGAGAAGGACAAGTATTATCATTATTGCCATCCTTTTGCAGATGGAGATATGAAGCTTAAGGAAATGTTAGGGTCAGAGATTACAGTATCAGAGGTTCAGGACTGGAAGGAAATTGAGGGGGGAAATAGAGCAAATTAATATCTAATAATGAAAATGATTCAACAGACTGGTGTATTGGTATGACAGAATATTATGCAGTGGCCTTATGGTGGATTAAATAGTGTGAAACAACATGCATGGTATGTTATTAGATATAAAGTAGCATTCATGATATATATAGGTATATGTATATTTCTGTGTCCATGTTGTAACAAGAGGAACAGTATTCCAGGATAAGAGCTTGCTCAGGTTTGAATCTCAGCTCCATCACTCAACAGCCTTGTAAGGATGGAGAAGTTCCTTAACTTTTCTTTGCCTTATTTGCCCCATCAGTAAAATTAGAATAACCAGCATATTCACTACACAGTGATGAGACTGGGTTGAGTGAAAAGATCCAGCGAGTGTTCAGTGAATGTTACCTGTTTTCTTTGTTAGCTGTGCTCTGAAACACCAGAGAGAATATTAGTTCTGTATTTCAGCCACTGAAATTTTTTTTTAGGCACACACTGAATAAGCAACAGCAAGGGGTGGTTTTTAAATCTTGGCCTCAAAAATTAAATCTAGGCTGTATCACAAATTGTGCAGTGCTTTGTGCTGTCTGTCGCTGCACCTGTGTCCCACGGCCCCTCCTGCTCTCATCCTTGAAGTCTCCGCCATACGACCCACAGAGCCAAACAAAGACCTCTACCACAGAGGCCTCACTCGCGCCTGCTTTCCCTCTAGGCCCAGAAACCCAGCAGCAACACGAGTAGGAAAGGACAGACTTCAATCTGAGTTTCTACTCAAAAAACATTTATTATTATTTTCTCTCCTTGGCATGTTTTCTTTAACAAAAATAAGTTTTCTTGGCCGGGCACGGTGGCACACGCCTGTAAACCCAGCATTTTGGGAGGTTGACACCGTAGGATTGCTTGAGCCCAGCAGTTTGAGATCATCTGGGCTGTAGAGCAAGACCTCTTCTCTACAAAAAAATCAAAAAATTAGTCGGGTTTGGTGGTGCATGCCTATAGTCCCAGTTACTCAAGAGGCTGAGGCAGAAGGATGGTCTGAGCGCAGAGTTTAAGGCCGCGGTGAGCCATGATCCTGCCATTGCACTCCTGCCTGGGAGAGAGAGAGAGACCTTGACTCAATAATAATAATAACAGTAAGTTGTCTTCACCTATACTTTCTCAAATATTTAATTCTGTTTTGAAACAGCAAAAGACTAGCCCATATAATTAACATGACCTGTATGCACTGTTGATTTGGTTTTTTGCTTGTTTTGTTTTGTTTTTGTTTAGGTCAGGGCCTAGGGCAGAAAATAAATGATAGATACTGTGAGAAGTATTTAATTAAGGGACCAATTACAAGGTTGTGGGCAGCTGGAAGAGAAGCCAGGCATGGAATAACACCCTCCACACAGCACCTCGAAGCAGTTGCTATCCCCGGCCAGAGGATCAGGCTGAGGGAAGGAGCGGGCCTACGTGCAAAGGGATGCTGAGGCCATTGTGTTCAGTGAGGGATGAGGCCAAAACAAGTATGCAAGTGTGGGTGAACGGAGATGGGGAGGCCAGGGAGTAAGTGTTCCGACCCCACTGTTCTCCCACTATCCAAACCCCCGTTAGTGCCTCCCATGGGTAAACCCAACTGGAAAACAGGACTGGGAGCCTTGTTGCTGTCCACATGGGTAGGCAGCCCAGGAGGACTCCAGAGCAGGAGGAGAAAGCTGCCAGGTGCTTTGGGAGGGGAGGAAGGAAAGTATTCAACACATTGTATGCTCTGTGCTCTTGAATCAAAGGGGAATGAATTAGCAGAAATTCAAATAAAGAAATGTAAGCCAGGCATGGTAGGGCGTGCCTATAGTCCCAGCTACTCAGGAGGTGGAGGCAGGAAGATTGCCGAGAGCCCAGGAAGTCAAGGCTGCGGTGAGCCGTGATCATGCCACTGCACTCCAGCCTGGGTGACAGAGTAAGACCCCTGCTCAGAATGTTTTAAAAAAGGAAAGAAATGTAGACAGTACAAATAAAAGTCCTTCTCTGGACACCCAATGCCACTCCACAGGGATGCAGTTTCACATGGACCATCCAAACTAACAAAAATATCCTGCATTAATGTGAGCACATGCTGAAACCTCACCTTCTAGCACAAACTCATCATGACTAATTTTAAAGGTATATTTTTAAAGAAGTTAATAGGTATGTTGAGATTCGTGAAACATAGAAGACTTTGAATGGACCAGAAATTATACGGATCCCTAAAAAAGAAGCTACGGCCCCAGCAGGAAATTGCAGAGGCTGCAGGGGAAGGTGCCAAGCCCAGAAAAAGAAAGTGACTTCTGCAGAAGACAGGCTTCTCAGCAGTGCTGATGTAACGAGATAAGGAAACAAAGTCATCAAGTTCCTCAGGAAAAGGATATCGAGCCAAACTAGCATTCAACAGTGAGGATGACTTTGTGAAAGAAGGAAATCTAGCAGAAAGTTGTATAGGAAGCACAGCCACGGGAGCAGTTCAGACAACTGCTCACTGAAGAGCAGGTAGCCTAAAGAGTTTGCATGTTAGGTTGTTGACAGCCAATGTTCCACTCAGTTTTGAAAACTGTTCACTGTTCCAGTTCAGAGAAGGTACGGGGAATTCAGGCTGTGTTAGTTCAGAGACTGGATTCCCGGGCTGAAAGAATGAGGGTAAGGTCTTAGCAGCTGTTAGCCAATGGGGATCTAGCAGGAAAGATGGGGGAAAAGGTGGGGGTTCAGATCTTCCTAGGGTTGGTAAAAAGAAAAATTCAGCTATGTATTATTTATCAAAGACAAACCAGAAAAAGGTAATAGAAAACTGTTTTTAAAAATTAGAGATATTTTAAAAATACCTGCCAAATATTAACATAATAATTCTATAGTAATATTACTATCAGTCAAATTAAAATTCAAGGTAAAAATTCCAGGGAATCAAAAATGATATTTAATATTGATAAAAGAATTAATTGACTAAAAACACAAAACAGCAGTGAAGCTTTATGAATATGAGGTATATTAAAAACAAATCAAAGTAGAAGCCAATAGAAATTTTAAAAAGTATTAAAACACAAATCTTTAAGAACTGTGAGAGACATCACACTTTTTCAGATTAGTCAAAAGTAAGCCAGGTGAGAGAAGCTGAATATTATAATTAAGAATTTTCATAAAATAGACATACAGAGAATTAATACAAACATAATTAAGAATCTTCATCCCTGATGAACACAGGTGCAAAAATTCTCAAAATTTTACAGCACATTTAAAGATCATACACCACAATCAAGTGGAATTTATCCCTGAAATGCAAGGATGTTTCAACATATGCATGTCAATCAATGTGCTGCACCTCATGAACAGAAAAAAGTCAAAAAATCATATCATCCTTTCAATAGACACAGAAAAAATATTTGGTGAAATGCAACATCCTTTTATGATAAAAACTCTCAGCAAATTAGATACAGACAGAATGTACCTCAACATAATAAAGGTCATATATTACAAGCCCACAGTTAACTCTTACTCCAAGGTGAAAAGCTGAAAGCTTTTCCTATAATATTAGTGACAAGGCAAGAATGCCCACTCTCACCAC